TCTGTATCTTTTTGTTAGTATTCCAGTTTATATTGGTTGTTTTGTGTTTGTGCTCTCAATACTATTTATATTTACACCAATTTTTATAAGCACTCATTTGATCATTATGTAAGTGTGCTTCGAATAAATTCCTGTATACCTACATGAACACATAAAATTTGTGTTTTTTATGCAACTATTTGCTAATACCATTTTACATAGCTAAAAGTTTATTGAGTTTTCCTCTACACTTTTGTTTTGTTTTCTCATCATTAAAATCTTTCTCTTAATGATAATAGCATTATTAATAGCAAATTCTATTTATATATTTTTATAAAGAAGATATTTTGTGTATAGGAAAGTTATTTAGAAAATTACAGACAAAAACCAAATAAGAGAAACATACTGTCAGAAACAGTTCCAAAAAACATATATACAAAACTATTCAAAAATATTAAAGTTACCAAAAAATAAATTAAATTTAAGTTTGTATGGTATTCATTTTGGGGTTATTTTATATCTATGTAAATCGCATAATAGCTGTATTTTTCCAAAAATATTGTAAGAATAAACCAACCGTTCTGAAACTCGAAAACAATATGAAAATTTATTTTCAATGTCACAAATTTTTTGTTAAAAACTTATTTGTAATAGAAATTTAGTAGTGTTCATATATATATATATATATATATACATACAAATATTGTGTATAAGTAAAAACATTTGTTAATCTCAGCCGGGTCGTGTCCCTTTTTATGTTAACGAAAATGATATCTCTTTTTACCGACCGCACTGCATACAATAAGGGAGGTCATGTGATAGCACCAAATTTCACATTTGGAGCTTTTGGCGGAAATTCGTTTCTCTATGCTAATGAAGCGTAAATAAACTATTTTTAAAGATATGTCTGTCGGTCAGTCTGCTTGCCTGTCTATTGATCAGTCTGTCACTCTGTTTGTGTAGATCGGTATTTCAACTTCGGCTAAATCGATTCTGATAAAATTTTATATAAAAGTTTCCTTTGAGGGTGAAACGGTTTGATCAACTTTTGGGATGAGAACGGGTCGATTTCACATTATTGATTATTTTTAAGAAGAAATTCAGCAGATAACCTTGAAATTTGATATATAAGCTTCGCATGGCAGTACATGAAAGCACATTACTTTTGAAAGAAATCATGAAGCAACAACTGGATTTTTACTATAAGCCAAATTTACATTTTTACGCATATAGAGGAAAATAACCAGCTAATCTTTGAAAGTTAACATTTAGGTTTTGTTTGGTACTGGATAGTACCAACAATCCGGATAGTACAAAGGGAAATTTTATTAAGAGCAAAATTTAAATTTTTCTAAAAGACACTAACTAAAAGCTTATTAGCGTCCTTAAAATTTGAAAGAATTGTTTAAAACGTATTTTCATTAGTCATTTTCATTAGACTAAACAATAACAAATGTGGTCGGTTATGGGCTGATCACATCAGATTTTTTCTTATTGTTGTAAATAATTATTGTTATCTGTTTATATATGTTTCTTGCACTAACTTTGGTACTAAGAGAGAGGATGAGAAAATAAAAAAGAAAAAATAGAATAACAATAATATAAACATGTTGTTATTTAAAATTAATTTTCTCTCTGATGAATTCTATAGAATAACTAAGAATTTACAATGTTTTTTTTTTGCTTTTCATCTTTTCTCTTTTGGTATATTTCTAAAAATTTTTGAAAAAATGTACTTATTTTAGTTTGACGTGTTTATTATTTTAAACACATCCTGAACTATTCTTTAAGCTAATCGCAATATTCCAAAGCGTTTTGTCACTAATTTTCGGAATAATTTTTTTTCTCAACATGACAACTCAGATGAATCCGAAATTGTTGGTTTATAAATAGATATTGATAAATACTGTATTTTACTTTAACAAAATTTTTCTTTTAGTTTCAATTTTATGTATGTTTAAGTTTGCAAAATATAGTTGTTTGGTTTCTCTATTTCTTCGATAGGTTCAATCGAACTTTTTGTTTGAATATTATAACAGAAGTTTTGTTCTTACTCTTATACCTTCACTAAATTTGTTAGTAAAAATTATTATAAATAAAATAATAAATTTTTCCTAAATTTATGCAAAATTTTATGTTAAGGTAAAATTCTGTGGCAAATTATTTTCACTATTTAGTTAGACCTAGTATAAATACCTAGTATAAGCATCGGAAGTTGTTTGTCGGAAATGTCCTCTTTTATAACAGCATGGTTTGATTGACTTATTCTTTATTCTTTCTTTTTTGCTAAAAAAAGGGGCTTTTTATCTCTAACAAATAATAGTACATGTTATATTTTAAAATATAGTTAAAAATGTTGTAAAAGTAAGCAAAAATCAAATTAATACTGAAAGATAAAAAAAAATTACACACTTCATAACATATTTTACAAGGATATTTAAGTAAATTAAAAACTCTTTTTTAATGAGATGTTTTTCGTTTTTTTAATTTTATACCGAAAATCATACACACAGATACGCTCTTATGTACAATGAGAATTTCTTTTAATTGATCTCTAAGGACAAATTAAAAAATTAATATTAGGTCAAATGGGTTGCAAAAAAAAAATGTTTTGTTATATTTTGTTTTCTTTTTTTTGAAGTTAACCAGTTTCTCTTTTTTGTTTTCTTATCACTTATCATCGTATTATTATATAATATAAAATATCCTTAAAATCCATAATATGATATACTTTCATTTTTCAACTTAAATATTTATGTTTTGTATGAAATTTTTGAACAAGGATCAAAAACAAAGATTTTTTTTCTATTTTTGTTTTTTTGTCTGAATATTGTCCAAATCATGTGATTGGTGTAGTATGAAAAAGATTTGGGTATAATTCCCAAATTTTCAAGGATATTTAAGGATATTTATGAAAAGATAATGTGGTGAATATGTATTTGATTTACAAAATAAAAAAAAGCAACAATATTGGGACGAAAGCAAAAAAGATTTAGTTATGATATATAGAGAACAAAATTCTAAAAATAAAATAGAAACATTGTCACATATGTATATTAATATAGGCATTGTGAGTTTTTGTGATTGTGCTATGGATGTCCTATGTACGAGTATATCTCTTAAATTTGACTTTGTAAAGTAAATTATAAAAAAGAAATAAAACTTAAATTTCTTGGTTCTTGTAGAATAAAAACTTCAATTATAAATTTAATTAAATATTTAAGTTAATTTTTAGTAGAAATTATGTACCAGTTGAACTTATGGGTAAAAAATACTTGAATAGAAATGAAAAACTCTATGACTAAATTTATTTTCATCCCAAATAAATTACGATGAACTTCACTTATAGCAGTTATCATAGTTCTCAATAAATGGAATTATTTGCCCTCAAATAGTTTAACAGAATTTGACTATCTAACTACATACTATAATCGAAATAAATGTGTCAATCCTTTGAAATTTCGATTATTTAAGTTTAACTAGTACCTGTCTGATATTAGTTTTTACTTGTTTTTTGAGTTCATCTTTTCAAAGAACATTCTGACGTAACATTAATTTATGACATTAAATAATAAAAGTCTACATTTATGAATAAAAATTTTTTTATTTAAGCCATTTATTTTTTAAATTTGTTAAATTGATTGTTTTAGCTTTAGTTTAATTCTTGCTTATATAATAGTGTAAAAAATAAAGTTTTCATTATGTGTAATAAAAACAAAATTAATTATGCAGTATGTGTGCAATGTGAGAGCATAATAATTTTGTTAATGAGAAGGCCGCTGCCTAACATTTTCATATCTTCGAGAGTAATTTCATCATATTTTATCGATTATAATTTAATAACATTGAAATTATAATGATGGTTAACTTTACCATCCCTTTTTTACGATTCAATATATTTCGTATTCTACAATATTAATTTAAAAAACAAAATTTATGAAATCATTTAAAAATATTGATTACAAAATTTTATAAGTTTTTATGATGAACCTTTTAATTCAATTTTTTGTCTTTGCTTTGTTTTTTATTCTAGATGATAAAAATGTCATCAAGAATTTCCATTCTAGTTATGATAGAAGAGAGCAACAAACAAATTGCTACATTCAATTTTTTTTACACTATGCAAGATTTTCTTTCTTATTATTTTGTGTTACCCAATTTTATTTACACACATCCAATCAAAAGTTACATAAAATTATACTTTTTTCAACTCATTCATTTTTAATGATCCTTAAAAGGATTTTCATTTATCAAATATTCTATCGTACGTCGTCACTTGTGTTTGAATCCTAATTTTTTTTCTATATACTCGTATTCTATACAATCTTTGTAGAAAATTGTATCACCACATGCTTCATATTATATGTTCATGTAATAATAATAATATATTAATCTAAAAATAGTATATGGATACGAAGTGTTGTGCTTCTTAATACTTGCAATGTAATAACTATAATAGAAAAAATTAAATCAAATTTTATAGTCAACAATTTTTATTTGTCAATGGTGCAGGGGAAATCATGTTGCCAAATTATAATTCGTTATAGAATTTGTTGGAAATTTTTCAACTGAGTAAATACTTTTAATAAGCTTTTGTTCTTAATTAAAGAGGTAAGAAAAGTTGCTTTTAACTCATTTCAATTCAAGCATTAAAAATAAAATGTTTTCTCTCTTAAATATATTACGTCATGCTACAGTTTTTAAATAACAAAGTGCAGAATGTTGAAATTCGGAAAATAAATAAAAGCTAAAATCGTTATTATGGTCATTGAGAAAATAATTCTGTGAATTTACCCTTTAACCGTGAAAGTTCAAATGTTTTCTTTCTATTAATTTATGCGATTTTCTTTTGTCAAAATTTCTACCAAATGTATTTCAAATCTTACATTTTTTTAGAGAAAGCTGACTTAATTCCTTTGACATATTTGTATTTTTTCAAAACCTTATGGTAATACTTAAGCTAACATTTAATATTTTTAGCTAATGTAAATATCTTTTTTATTTTCAATTTATAATAATAGCGATGAAAATGAAGAGCAACTTTCAAAATGGAATGAATTTGTTGAGTCAATAAAATCAAAGTTAACGGTTAAACAGGTGGTGGATGGTGTAAGAGCTGGTGGAAGTTTATCTTTTGATTATTTACTACTTATAGTTACAGCAGAGTAAGTTTAATCTTCCTATTATTTTTTATTTAATTTTCATTTTTACAAAAAATATTTTTATATACCAATACTCTTTTATGTTAGCGTTATGACAGATAGATGAATATCCTTTTAATGAATTTCATCTTTTTTTTCTAAATTGTTTTATTTTTCTCTATTTTTTTTGCTTTTTACAAGTGGATACTGTGTATATCCATTCGTTTATATAAATTATGTATATAGTTATTTTACATTATAATTAAAAGCGACATGATGTCGTGTATTTAATGGTTGACACTATTATAAAATTTGTTCTATGATTATATCACATGGTGATATAATGTTGTAGGACTGTGTAGGAATATATGAAGAGTAAGAATTTTTAATTTCATAATAAGAACTAAGTGAATTAAATGACAAGATACTAATTTAATGCTAATACCTTTTGGAGAATAATAATAATAAAAAATCATAATAATAAAGAAGAGCACCAACAACAAAATAATTCTCTTAGTGGATTTTGTGCTCACTATACATTTATAAATGTTAATGATTTGAATGAGAAATTAATGATGTTTTCAAGTTGATATACTCAAGAGGGAGAAATTCTATACATATATATACATAGGAAAATAAATTAGTTTTCTCAATAGGGGAGTTCATTAACGATTTTTGAATATACATATAGCTATGTCTTTTATGTATTTTAATCGTTTATTTTATCAGTCATAGTACAGCCGCAATATGAAATCTTAAAAGCTTCTTAATGCTTAATAGGGTAGGTTATTGTACAGTACAAGTTGTCATTGCTATAGCAAGTGATTTGGTCACAATTTAATTTAAGATTTTTGTAAGAAAGAAATTAAATTGTAGCAATAAATTTGTGAAATTCTATTTTCGATAAATAAAATATTCGGGTAAAATTGTAAAATTATACCAGGTTAACTAACAATAAAATCAATATTTTCAATACAGCTTTTATTGATAATTCTACTTATAATTCATAATTATGTTTCTTAACAACTTTATTTAATATTAGTAAAATTATAAAATACCCAAATACTTGAAATCTTAATTAAAAATCAATTGTTAAGGCTTCCCCTAAAAAAATTTACTTTTCCACTCTTGATTTCACACTACGATTTTAAAAGATTTCATTTTAACAAAATAAATATCTTTTATTTCATTACATAATTAGAGTAGAATTTCTGTAATACTATACTGTTTTATATACTATTATTACAGATATATTGTTATTGTTATATTATATCAAATAGTATTATGTGTGCGTACTCGCTATGTACATTCAAGCAGGATAAAATATTTTTTTGGAAAATTTTATTCTTGTTTAAATTTTATTTTCAGTTCTTTAGCTGCACTTGGTTTAGTTGAAAATAATGCACCAAATATTGTTGCTGCTATGCTTGTATCGCCATTAATGGGTCCAGTTATGTCGATAACATTTGGTACAATAATATCAGATCGAGAATTAGTTGTAAGTTATTATATTTTTTTTTCTTTTTTTTTTTGTATACTTCAAAATTTTTTAAAAATACAAGTTGAACACATTATTATCAGTAGAAAATGGAATATACACACAGATATATTCCGTGGTTTTTTTTTTTAAAAATTGTTATTGAAAATGATGGAAAATATTATGTACATAAATATTATGTATGTGTACTGTTAGTCGATTTCATTATACATATTGGGTGGATAGGTATAACATGGAATATTGAAAAAGAAATGGATATGGGAAATCATTTTAGCAATTAATATAATTATTAGTTGCAGTCATTTGTTATACGAGTACTTAGCATTTATTTTTAAAATTACAACTTTTCAATCTTTTAAACTACAACTATATTGGAATTAGTTATCAGTATATTTTTGAATTTAATCATAAATAACTTTGTAGTGTATCGTCAAACTTTTAGCAGTATTTAAATACACTTCCTTATCAACAAACTTCAATGTCCTTTCGCGTATATAAGCATTTTGAGTTTAATTTAATTACACCACATTTCAATTTTCCGATATTCATAACAATATTTTGATTTAAATTTAATTTTTTGAATCAGTTTTTATAATTTCCAATTCTAGAGTGATTTAACCCGGACATGAAACCCCAATCTAATAATTAGTTTTAAGGAATAATTACCAATATCTAAAAAGCGCATTATGTACTCTTTATGTACATGTATATCTATATGTATAGAATAAAGAATAAGACAAATTCCATTGGATATAAATCATTAGAGAAAATGAAATAATAAAATGCTTGGAAAGATGGTGATTTTAATTTTTCTTAATCTGCTTGAAAAATGTGTGTTTTTAACAAATTTCTTATTATTATTAATTGTTCCAAAATTTTACTAAAAGTGCACCCAGAAAAAGGAAAGGTTTAAAAATTTTATGGTTCTGTAAAATTTAAAGAACCAAAGAAATTGAATTAAAGAAAAATCATAAAAATTCATTGTTTCTGTTTTATGTTCATTACATTAAAAATGTAGCACGACAAAAAAGGAAAAATATGAAATGACAAGGGAGTGAAAATATGTTTTTGAATTATTTAAGTTTCTTGATTTTAATCTAAAGATTTTTTTCTCTTATAAAAGGTTCAATTATGTGCATATAAACTTGTTATATATGTTTATGCGTTTAGTATATTATATACATAACATACGTGGCTATAAAAGACCAAAAAAAAAATAAAAGTTTATAATAATTTTGAAAAATTACAAAACCCAAGACGAATTCTCAACTCATGAATACCTAAGTAAACAATTTTCTACGTTTTGTTCTTTTTATTCACACACTCGCACATTCGCATATAAATGTACATTCATATTAAATATACACATAATATGTATGTAGGTATTAATCTATGAGTGTATTTGGCTGTTAACTTCTTATATTGTTATTTCTTACTAAAAAAATAACAAAAGATAAGAAAAGCAAAAAAAAATTGAAGCTGTTTTATTCAAAATTCAGGACAATAAAGGATACTCACTTTATTTTGTATAACCATACTAAATGAAAATGAAACTGAACACAAAAATTTGACAAAAACTTATTTACATTCCCTATCAGTTCAAACAAAGTGGAAAAATTCAATAAAAGAAGTAAAAAATCTCAAGGCCACTAGTATTTTTATTTGTATTTTTTGAACAAAAGAAGAAACAGAATGCAACGATTAACAGATGCTGAGATTAGATCTATGTGACAGTTACGTTATGTAACTACAAAAGAAAAAATAAATATTTTTTTTATATATTTTCATGCCTCCTTCAAAATGTTTCTTTTATTACAATCGTGATGAATTTTTATAACCATTATTGTAATATTTATTTCAGCTTAAATTCATATTTTTTGCAGACATGGCCGTAGAACTGGTCAATTATATAGGACGCATAAAACAAATATTTCAGCAGTTTTAATAATCTAGCTAATAATTTAACCCCTACCTTAAGAAATCAAATAAGAATATTATTGTTAATATATGTAGTAAAAAAAATAATTCTCAATATTAGGATTCCGAGTGAGTTTTAAATGATAATTGAACTGTAGGGAAAATGTTCTCGAAAAATTGTGGAAATTTTAAACGGTTTAAGTTTATTTATTTCATATTTTAATAATTTTGATTGCGTAATTGCAGCAAATATGTTCCCTTTGTACTTTTGCCGTTATTGATATTAAATTTAAAGGCATTTTTCAGTTTTAATGGTATGTTTATCAATTGCGATAATAATTTGATTTATCAGATCAAATTTCTGGAAAAAGAAACAGAGGAAGTTTGTGAATTTACAATAAACTAAATCAAAATTATCAACTAGTTGGAACTAATGAAATTTTTGAATTTACTGCATATCTTGTCTTTACTACATTTGGAAAATTTTTTAAAGAAATGAAAATCTAAACGAGAAAAGGATCTCAGGGTGATTAAAAGATTTTTGCAACGAAAGGCTCTCAGTGTGAAATTAAATTTATAAAAGTGCAAAAGATAAGAATAATTTTCTAAAACTCTATGGTTATAATTTGTTTTAATTAATTTAATAAATCGATCTATTTTAATTTTATTAAGTAGTTTTGCTTTGATGTCTTCCTAAATTGCTTAAAAATTTGAGAAAATTGCTTATTAGTTTCACTCTGTCCGTCCATCCTTCCGTCCGCCAGCCCATCCGTCCATCCATCCGTCCATCCATCCGTCTGTGCGTCCGTCCGTAAACATGTTTACAAAGCTTCTACGCCCTTTAAGATAGAAAGCTGAAATTTCATATAGAGAGTGATTCACCAACAAGTTAAGAGCCGTCTACAACCGGCTAGAGGGTTGAAAATAAGTATGTTAGTATAGTAAGTAGTTAAGTATGTTAAAATTTCGCCAAGTTTTCTCAAAATCCCTGTAGTTCGGGAACGGTTCCGACTCAATACTATGTTCCGAACAATAATTTTACTCATTTTCGACCCCCAAACTTATGGTATACGGCTACTAACTTTACCCTTTAAATCGAACATTATCTTTAAATTTTTTCTTTTTTTATTTCAAAAATGGCATTCATTGCTCAATCTAAATGTATGCAATCTTTGAAACAAATTCGTTTATGAATGAAACTAATTTTAATAATGTAGTACACAGATTGTTCTTCAAAGCAGTATTTTCACTTTTTTAAGGGAAAATTGCTGCATTAAAAACCATTAGTGACTCAACTTTATTTTTTTATAACCCCATTTTAAATAACTTTTTTTCATATAAGTTTAAATTTTAAAGTTTATTTTCTTTAAAAAAAATTGGTTTGGGTCCAAGATAATAATTTTTTCCTGAATTAAATTTTCGCCTTATAAATTTTAAAATTAAAATCATAAGGAATATTTTTTACTGAATTGCAATTTAAAACTGGAATATTTTCCGGTTTTAATAATTTTTATAAAATTCGTTTATTGTACTGAAAAATTTAAGTACGAATATCTACTAATTTTTTAAATATTTTACTGCAGAATAATTTGAACACAGAGTATTCAAAAGTCATAGGAATAATAAAAAACAAAATTTATTTTTTGTACATTTTTACTGATATTGTTCATACATAATTTTTTTTAAAAGTAAACCATATTTAAAGCAAAATTTAATAGAATTGGAGCTTTCCAAGTTTTGTATTACATGTAAATTTTAAAAATCTGTAGACCAGTTGTTGATAAGATAATGATAAATTAATTTTGACATTTTATTCTAAAGTTTACAAAGAGAAAGTTAACATGCATGTAAATTTTATCATAATAAAATTTTAATGTTTGAAATGTTAAGGAACTCAGAGTAATAGAAATGATTTTGGCAATGTTGAGTCAATTTGTTTCAAAAATTAATACAAAAAATAGAAATGCTATTAACAAAATTGAAAAAAAGTTAAGTGACGGCTTAATACGTGGGAGTTCATTAAGCAAGTATGAGAAAATTAAAATTAAGCTGTAAGTTTTTGTTATATTTGGCTATATTTTTTTCTCGCCAACGTAACATTTTGCTAGAAAAGTTTAGTGGTGTTTATTCCATTGAAATATCAACGAGAACATAAAGATTCCTATGTATGGTTGCAAAAAAAACAAAACCCATATAAATTTTATTTTCAAAACTTTTAATTTTTTAACTCTTTGGTATTTAAGAATTTTTTTAAAAACTCTGTATTTGTATGGCGATAGACTTAGTGTACACTGACATAAAAATTATTTTTGTTTTAAATAAAAATTGAATTTATAAAAATATAATATGAGTTTTTATTTGCAGTCCTTTTTAAAAATTTTCTTCTTTGGCTCAACATACACACTATGGCTGCTTGTTTTTTATTATTCATTGTCATAATGCCAAATATGTGTCGGAAAATTTCAAATTTGCAGCACTTAAGAGTAATTTGTAAATTTTATTTAATTTTTGTTTCTTTCATTTTATTAAATTGAAAAATAAAATGAAAGAAACAAAATTTTAAAAATGTTTCATATAGATTGTCAGCAAAAATAATTTTCATATATTTTCTCGAAACTTAATAGAATAAGTAACAGAGAGAAGATTTTTTTCTTGTTTTTTGAAAAAGAAATTGTTGCCAAGAATTGCAATTAGCCAAAAACAATATTTAATAAGAAAAATCGAAAAAAATGAAAAAAAAATATGTCAAGTTATGTCATTTTTATTACAACTTAAAATCCTAAAAATTTAAAGAAGGAAAACGAAGAAAAAACTTAAAACCATTTTCTATCGTTTTCTTTGTGGTTTTGTTTTATGTACTTTTTGTTGTTCTTCATTAATAAAATTTTTTACTTTTTATACCCGTACGAACGTATGTTCGAAGGGTATACTAAATTTGCCTTACCGTTTGTAACGCTAAGAAATAACGGTGTTAGATATAGACTCAAGTATATGTTTTTGATCAGCGTCAAATTCTGAGTTGATTTAGCTTTGTCTGTCCGTCCGTCCGTCCGTCCGTCCGTCCGTCCGTCCGTCCGTCCGAACGATAACTCAAAAACTAATTGAGCTAAGTTCACCAAATTTTCACAAATGATCAATTGTAGTAAGTGCCAGAACCCTATTTAAATTGGACATGATCGGGGTACCGGTTCGGGTAGCTGCCATACAACTTCAAAATTTATTTGGCTATATCTCAGAAACTATAAAAGCTGGGGTATTGAAATTTCACACAAACGAATATATTAATAGGGCCAACGTGTCTGATAAAAGTCGTTGAAATTACTTGGCTCCTTCTGGTACCTGCCATACAACTTCAAAAGTTATTTTGCTATATCTCAGAAACTATAAAAGCTGTGATATTGAGATTTCACACAAGTGAATATATTAGTAGGGCCGATGTGTCTGGTAAAAGTCGTTGAAATTACTTGGTTCCTTCTGGTACCTGCCATACAACTTCAAAAGTTATTTGACTATATCTCAGAAACTATAAAAGCTGTGATATTGAGATTTCACACAAGTGAGTATATTAACAGGGCCGATGTGCTTGATAAAATGCGCTAAAATTTCTTGGCTCTTTCTGGTAGCTGCCATACAACATCAATAGTAGTTTGGCACAACCAGTATTTTGAATAACACATAGTACTGAAATTTTGCATAAATTAATATGGTAATACGGCAACTTAAAGTCATAGTCTGCCCCATAGTTAGTTATGGCACATTAGTTATTCGCACATAGGATAACAAATTCGTACGGGTATCACAGAGTTGACAAGGTCAACTCTATTTTTTTTCTCGTTTTTTATTATATTTAGTATTTTTTTAAATAGCATAACATATGGGCCTATGTTTACTATAGTGGAAACATACACACACGCACACTCATAAATTTAGTTTTCGATTTTATCAAAACAATCTTTATTATGAAAGCAATTTCTGTGGCAAAAAGGCAAAACCACAAAAGTCTTATAAGAAATTTGACATATTTGAATGTATAATCTAACGAAATTTGATTAATTTCACATCATCTTATTAAATTGCGAAAAACAATCAATAATTTTTTTCTGACCAACTACTGCTTTCAAGAAAATCTAGTTAAATTTGAAAAAAAATGTGCTCACACGCTATTATTGGACTTTTTAAACTATAGTTAAACATGAAACAGTTAATTAAAGATGGTGATTTAAATTCTAAAAACTTAATTGGGTAAATAAATATTTAGTTTTTTTAACCTATACGAGTATGTAAGTTTATTTAATCGATATATTTTGCCTCGATATACAGGTTATTGTTTTGCCACAGAATTGATTTAAAGCTTAAAAATCATACACATTTCGCTTGTGAAGCATCACAACTTATAGTTTGAAGAATAATATTTTGGGTGCATATTTTTATTACTTTGTTTTAAAGATTTTGAAATTTATTTGGAATTTTAATTTAAAAGGTAAATGGCCAAATGTCCTAACTCTTATATGACGGCATATTTTCTCGTTTTGGAAGATATAGTATAGATTAATAATTATAACATTATGTTTATATAATAGTTTAATTTACAATTTCCTAAAGAATTTGTAAAACCTACTCGGTATATAATTTAAAATAATATAAAATTTTTAAAACTCTAAAATCAAAATAAAAATCATTTAAAATAAAGTTGGGTCAAACCAATGGTTTGTATTGTAGCTCTTTTTCCTTCAACAATTTGTTAAAACACTGCTTTTAGTCACAGTCTAGTCTACCACACTATTAAAAATATTTTTATTCATATACGAAACTATTTCTAGTTGTTCAATTTGAAGTGTAAATTTTCTTAAATTTTAAAATTTATTATAGTTTTCGAATAAGGTGCGCGGTTACCCAAAAATTCATCTTGGAAAACATCTTTAAGTTAATTTTTCTTCTGATTGGTAAAACAAATAGTTCGATTCTATTTTCTCTAATATTTTTCATCTAAAACTTTTCTTTAACTACAAAAAAAGCTTGAAAATCATAATGTGAACTCCTACTTCCTTAAAAGTAAAACTCCTATTTCTTTAACTCCCGCGTACAAATTGGAGAATAAAGAACCCATAAACCTTAAAGCATAAAGTAAAAAAACCTAGTTATTTTATTTACTTTACATCGCATGTTAAAAAAATTTTTAATAATAATAAATTAAAGATTTCTTGTCATATTTTTAACTTTTCAGGTTAGAACGAAATTTAAACGCAAAATGCTTCCGAACAGATAAAAGCAATTTTTTATCATTAAAAGTTGTATTTATATGTTCCTGGCAAAAATTATGTATTGTGTTCATGGTTCCTAAGACCATTATTAAAAATATTTTTATAAAGTTTTCACTAAATGATCTTTTATACGAAAAATTAATAAAAAGTGAGATTAAATTTCATTAAAAAAATATTTATAATTTTGCTGCAGTATTAAGTTTTAGTTTATTACAAGTATAACATTCATCAGTCACAAATGAAGTTGGGTCAAACCAATGGTTTGTAATGTAGCACTTTTCCCTTCAACAACTGAAAATTGTGCGTTATATAAAACAAATATATAAAACTAGTGATTACTTGTAGGATGGAAAAAAAATGAAAGAAGCATTAACATGGTTCAATTGGACGGTTAAGCAAGTTAGTTAAGTAAAATAATTATATTTTTTTTTTGTTGCGATAATAAACCGTTAGCATTCTCTATTTATAAAAATTCTAGCATTTAAGAAAATTTAAGACATCGAAAAATGATGTTTTACAAATTTCGAAAGGCAGTAACTTAGGAGGGAATCGAACTAGGAAAAAATGCTTTTATAAAAAAATTAACTGTTTATTAATACCTAAAAGTTTTTATTTTAGGTACTAATTTTATCTATTTTAAAGGGTGTAGAAGTTTTTATAAAAAGACATACGAACGGACGGATGGGTGAACAGACGGACAGAGTTAAACTAATAAGTATTTTCTTCAAAATTTGTTTGGAAAAGTGCTAGTAAGAACAGAAAATTGTATTTTAATAACTTTTTGACAGTTTATGTAAGAAGAATTTTCAAATCTTGAACCTAATTATGGTTTCTTGCCCATTTATAATTTTTACTGAAATTAGTTTTAATGTTGAATTCATGCAATGCAAATAAGCAAAATAAAGGCTTAACATGTTTTTCAATGTCTGATTTTCAGATTTGAGAATTGTTTTAAAATTTGAGAATTGCTTATTTGAACAAGCAAATTTTTACATTTTTCTGATCGCCTTTTAAAATATTTATGAAAATTATAAATATTTATAAAAAATATTTTTTTTATAAAGTTGCACCAAATTTTGATTCTTGGTGCAGCTGAAGCTCTGCAAATTTGTTAACAAGTTATAAAGCAAAACGTGGTTAGTGCAATAGGGCCCCCAGCCAGTTTCAAATTCCTTATGAGTTTTATAGATGCTTATTTGGAATATTAGCTACAGGACGAAAATATTATGTTTTTATTATTTTCTACATTAAAATTTAAGAAACTCTACTTACTTAAAAGATATAGCCCATGAATGCGGTATGATGAAAACTTACCTGAAAATAAAAGAAGAATTGTTTAAATGAAAAAATTGTTAACATTTTAATAAAAGAAATATTTGAAAGTATTGAAAATATTAAATAAATATAGAGTAAACTAAAATATTAACTACTTTAAATACCGCGTTATTTTGTGGCTTCTGTAATTATTAACCTTAGAACCGTAAATTGTGTAGATGTTATCGATACTTTGTTCTGCGTCCACTTGTTTGAAAGTTTTTCCAAACTGGTCGCTAATACGGTTTATTAATTTACCGTAGTTATTCGGGAATAACTACGGTATACCGTAGGTATTAATTTACCGTAGTTATTCGGGAATAACTACGGTATATTGTTCGGGAATAACAACTTTATATTAGTCAAACGTAGAAGAAGTTTATCTCCTCATTTCAAATAAAATAAAAGCGAAATTTTCTTAAAGCTTGTTCCTCTCTCTTTAAAAACGATTTTTATTTGAAGTTACAGTATCAGACGGAGCTGGAAAAAAAATATTGTGCAATGACAATATTTTCCGTTTCATCCAGTTTATATTTGAGCTTAAATTGATTATCGGAATTTTAATCTGAAACAAAAGTGATCTCAAAATCATGAAATAGGAAAAAAGCGTAATTTTCTTCAACTAAAAGATTCTTAGAATCACTTTAAAGAGCAGATGATAAGCTATTCTTCAGATTGAACTTATTATAATGACCAAAAATTAAATTCTAAGAATGTTGGATTTGCATTATTTAAAACAAAGAAATTTAAAAAGATTGTTAGCTACTTCCAAAATTTTTTTCCATTAAAAATTTTTCCTTCCGTTAAAATTTTTGAATAATTTTTGCATTAAAATTTTTAGAAAAGTAATGTTTTGCGTTTTGTATTTTATGTTTCCGCTTTCTTTGTTTTATTTTTGGCTCGGGGCTTTACAAATCTTTTCGAAAAAAAAAACAGAGAACAACAAAACTGATTATTTTTTTTTTCTCTCTTTTGTTTTGGTGTATAATTCCGGCAGTGTGGTTAACAAAATTTAAAATCATACGATGGAGAAATTTTAATTTTTTTCTCTTTAAAATGGAAAAAAATCATTTATCGTTATTCTTCAAGAAATCTAAAATTATTCTTGTCAGATTGTCATACATATAGCAGTTACTTAAAAAATTTTCTATATATTTTTTCTATACGTTTTCCTATTCATTATTTTAATATATTTAATATTTCCTTAATGGTTTTCAAAAATCATAAATCTTAAGTAGTGTTAAGTTACAGATCTTGTGAACATCATAAAATTCAGAGACATTTTAAATAAGAATATGGAAGGATGTAAAACTTGAAACAAAAGAATAGCTTTTCTTTAAAGGAAAAAACTTTAATTGGAAATAATTTATGAATTATCATAAAGCTCAAGAAAGGAGAGCAAGCCCAAGAAATTTCATTTGATTTTCTAAGTTGACTATGGGATTTAGCAAAAATCTTGTGTTTAATTTATCACAAAGAAACGTATGTTTAGTGTCGTTTCTACTCGTTATTTTATTTGAGTAAAACATATATTGTAAGCCTCGGTTATTGTGAAACGAAATAGAAAATAAAATAACATGGAAGGTATAATGTTTTGGTTCTTTTGACTAAATTTTTAAAAAATTCAATTAAAAAACGAAAATTTCAATAAAATATCAAGTACGAGAATTTTAGCTAAAAATTTATTTAAATTTAGCGTTGAAGCACAAAATACAACCGGTATTATAATCTAAATCTCAATATATAGCGTCGATTGGAAAATATTTTTTCTATAATATTAGGTTGTTACTTTAACTATACGAATAAATTTTAAGGACTGTAAAGTTCAAATATTATTTTCGAAATGAGAAGATTTCATTAAGACTAAATATTTTTTATAAAATATTCGTGCTATTATTAAGAGAACGATTGATAATTTTTATACTACCTTTGTAAAAAATTTCAAACACACACACGCATATGTAAAAGAAAACTTTGAGAATGTAGGGAAGTTAAGCTACTTTTGTCTTTAGAAAAATATTTTTTTCCTTCCTGCGCCGTCGTTTCAATTTGTATTTTAACGTTATTTTATTTAATTTTTTTTTTTGTAATATTTTCATTGTCCTTCCTAATTTATACATACAATATTATAATTTTATATTTATTTTGCGAAATTTTTATTATCAAATATAATATTTTTATTTTGTTTTTGTTTTCCCTTTTTTTTATCATTTCACAGAGAGTTGGTTTTATTTCTTTGGCTCTTGGTATGTTTATTTCAATGGTATTTGGTTTTATTTTTGGATTAATCTTAGGCACAACTGAAATGCCATGGGGTTTTGGTGATTGGCCAACCGAAGAAATGAAAGGGAGGTAAGTTGATTATTATTTCATTATAAGTGGTTGTTTCCGAGTAGAATTTTTGTATAGAAATAGTCATTCTTATTTATATAATAAAGGTAAAAAGTATCGTTGGTCTGTTTTATTATTTTGTATATTTTTGTTTTATAAAAATCTTTTAGAAAATATTACGGAAATTTCAATTTTCTTATTTAACGAACCTTAAAATTAAAGTCAAGTAAAATACAAGAAAATTTCTTTTAGATCGTAAATGTATAATGATGGCCTTATGGTTATAAAATAGTTATTGTATTATTAAATAGTTGAATTTGTTGGTTTTTATGCTTTTGCTTTCATTTTTAATAAAATTTTAAAACAATGAAATAAAAAATTATTTAAGAAATTAATTTTATTATGATAAAATATTTAAATAGTTTAAGCTCAATAACTATGAATTATGGATAAAATATCTAATTAATAGTACCTATGTTTGAATATAAGTAGCGTGAACAGTGAAAGGAAGAAATATAGAAAACACGGTATAGGTGTAATAATGAATTAATTTTACATGTGTTTATTAAGTTCATACTTAAGAGTAAGAAGCTTGCATTTCAGATGACAGTGATTAGCAGACTAAAAGCATGATATTATACATATGTTAATAGGTACATGGCAATTTTGTACAATCTTCAAAAGCAACTGAATTCATGTATAACACTTAACCCAAGATTCCCAAACTTCTTCTCTCGTAGACCCCCTTTTCGTGTTTTTCAATTCTTGATAGAAAAATTTTTTTTTCACTTTCGTACACCCCTAGCAGGTCTTAATTGGGGGCCTATATAGACCACTTTGGGAATCACTGTAGTAAACGATTGCATTTAAAAAACCTATAAATCTCTAAATAGTTTAAATGGTGATTATGGCGCCAAATAAAATTATGTAACGTAGCATAAAACGATTGGTAAGGGAACTTGCTCTACAATTTTAAAAGCTTTTGACATTTATATTATTACAACCAAATTTCAAGAGAACAATCATAAATATTTAAATAAAACTGTATAGGAGCTTTCTGCTCGTGTATCTGGTTCTATTTTGTTATATGAGTTTCTCAAAACTCAAGTCATAAAAATCAAATATTTGCTAATTGAAAAATTATAATCTTGGTTAATTCAAATGAATAGTAAAATTATAGAGCGGAGTTCAATCAACAGTGAATTGTGAAAAAAATATAAAAACACAAACTCTAATCTTTCAGATCATTTTACCTTCTTCTTTAATAAACTTTTAAGTCAATCAGTTTTTACTAAAATCTTTAATTCTTCAATAACCAAAAATTGTAATGAACCGCAATTAATATTGGACAAGAACTTAAAAAGCGCAAAGTAAAAAAAATAACAATAAATAATTGTCAAATAACGTAAATAAAATTCCAAAGTTAATGAGGAAAAAAAATATTTATTTACATTAAGCAAGTTGGAGGAGAGTAAATAAACAACAGTAAAACAATAATAATAGAAAATTATCGTAAAATAATTAAAATTCTTTAAAAAAAATTATCTTTTTAATAATTGAAAATTTTTCTGCTATTCTCCAACATGAAATTTGTGTAATTAATTATTAAATTTTTTATAATATTTAGTCCGTTGCTTAAAATATGCAAATAATTTACAGTAAAAACGTAATAATCTTGTAAAATTATACCTACAGAAAGTAAGTAGGTATGTATTGAAAAATTAGAAATGAGAGCACAAACAAAATGTTAAAAGCTAAAAAATATTTAATTTGAAGACCAAAAAAAAAATTAATATGAGAGTTGTTGCTTAAATAATAAAATACGGGCAAAGAAACGGTTAAATTTTTATTGCACGTGTGCTGAATTTAGTAGAAAATACTTTAATTATTAGGTATGGTGCTGGAATTTTTCTTTCTTTATTCCTTCTTTAAATACTCCATTTTACTTTAATTTGATTTACAGGTGGAGTGAGTTAAAGAAACAATAAAAAGAAAAAGACAAGGGAGCAAAAATTACAAAAATTTATCACCTTCAATATTTGAAGGTGTTTCTCTTGTTAAATAATGTGTTTGAAGGCAAGAATTCTAACATTTATAAAGTTTATAAATACCAAGTATAGAAACAGAAAAAAGTTATACCGAAAATATTTTATCAAACCTCGTTACAATAGTTGTTAGAAAATGTAAGTCTATAAACAGGGGCGTAAAGCATATAATCAGGGTAGTATAATTAAATTGTAAAAATAATAAAAATACAACAGGCGTACAGTAATGTAAAATATTTGAAAATGTATAACTTGTTTAAAAAATTTGAAGTTTCCAGCGTTGCTTTATGAAAACGTTGTTTTATTAAAAAAATACTCTTGTGTCCATATTATATGTTTTATATACGGGGTGTTTCGCATAAGGTTGCAAATAATTTCATGAATGATTCTTCGATCAATTTTCAGCAAAAAACTGTTTGGGTGAGGGGGGAGGGGCTTATTTTACAGGCCACTTGAAATTATTTCCCAGCTTATGCGAAACGCCCTGTATATTATATCGTTAAATATTTGAATATCAAAAGTTTTGGAAATGAATAGACAGATGAATAGATCGAATGAAACGAATAAGTACATTTTTTATAGCTTTTTGAAAACGTACTCAAAATTAACAAAATTGTCATGAATGTTTGTTTTATTTCTTTTTAATATTATTGCACAAAATTATGACACGGACATACAAAGTCCTTTAAATTACTCGCTCTTGTACATCCCTACCTATTCAGAAGGAATACCTATTACTATTATTAGAAACATATAAAAATATCTAGGATCCTTTCCTTATGTATGTACTGTGACGTAGGTGTGTACCTTTATTGCGTAAAAGTTATTGTAGAATAAAACGAAATAAAATTCAAGGGTTCTTCATATTCCATAATCTTCTATTTCTAGTTGTACATATAAATTTATTAAAAAAAAAAAAAAACAAATCGTATAAATATAATATGTACAATAAATTTAGTTTAAGGACATTTTAAAGGACATTAAAGACTCTCCAAAAATGAAAAAAAAATTCTTATTTTTTCATGTTTCCCAAAAATTTGATAACTTAAATTTTCTTCTTCAACATTTTTTTTCTTTACATTATTTCTTTTCTTTTTTTTCATATATACATAAAAGGCTATTAAAACCCTTTTTATTTGTGTGATTATAATAATAAATTTCACACCTGAAAAGTAAAAAAGAAAAAATTTATTTTATTTCTGAAAAAAAAAAGAAAATCTTTTTTCTTTGTATATAAACAAAATGCAAAGAAAATTATAGGGATAGAATTCGTGACCAAGTCACAACATTCTGAATGTCCCGAAGGGAAAATAAATCTATTCTGATTGGAATTCTCTATATCTAAGGAATTTTATTTTTGTTATACATATAGTGTTTAAGGGGTATTGCAAATATTTTTGTTTTTAATATTTTTCTACAATTTTGAAAAAAATATTTAATCAAAATAAAGAAGTAAAAAGAAAATAAAGAAAAACTTAAAACAGAAAGTAAAGAACAAAAAAAAATTTAAAAAGGAAAAACATAAACTACGAAGAAATTATTAGACCCTTTTTTAAATGACTTTTTCTAACTTAACCTTGCAAACAAAAAAGAAAGCAAGCTGATTTTTAAAGATTTTTGCGCTATGTACTTGAGCTTTTATTCACTTTACTCTTTCCGTTAGTCTACTATACAGTCAGTTTAAAAGTTCAAGGGTTGACTTAAAAAGAGTAAATTACTTAATAAATTTTTGGTGTTCTTTAACTTTCTCTAACTAGAGGTAGAGATAATTTCGAACAAAATTCAAAAAAAAGAAACAAAAAGAGAAAGTTGAAAATAATTTTCAAGTTTAATTATGAAATTTATATGTAATTACAATTTTTACATTAATTTAGAGAAAAAAAAACGAATTAACATAAAGTGATTGCATATTTTTTGGCGTTCACTCTTATGTTTCATTTTATTTTTTCTTTCTTAAATTTAATTATATTTACTTATTTAAAATGGAAAGCGGGAAAAGGAAAGAGAATGAGAAAAGTATCGCAAAGAGAAATAAAAATTAAATAAAATCTTGATACGTGAAAAGATTGATTAAAAACACTGTTTTCCAATTAGTGCCCCTTTTCAAGAGCAAACAACAGTAAAAAGAAAAAAAAAATTATTCTTGAAAAATTTTCTTATTTTATTTTGTGTCCTTAAAGGGTTCCTTTTTCAAAAAAAAGAAAAACGACGGCAGAAACAGAAATAATGAAATTGAAAAAAGAAAAATTATTCATAAATATGAAAAATTTATAAAATTTATAACTGTTTTACGTTGTAATATGTGGGCATTGGTGTATTGTAAGAGTTTTTCTTATTTCATTTTCTTTCTTTAGTTGAAAGCTTACATTTTTACACAATTCCTTCGAGGTAATTTGGCATAAAATTGTTTTCAAGTGATTTCTATTTAATTTTCTCCTCTTGTTTTTTGTTTTGATATCTTTGGATAAAATTTACATGAAAAGGTCATGGAAACTAAGTATAAAAATAAATAAAAGAAAATAATTTCAAAAGAACGGTATGGTAACAGGTGAAAAAAAAGTTAATTTAAGATTTTTGTCCTCAGATACGACATTCAAATTTTGTTGCCGTTCGTGTTTTAATGTACATTTTCTGTAAGGAAGAAACTTTACACTCTCGCTGAATATGTGAATGAAAATTTGATTACTTTGTCCATTAGTACTTTGTAAAACTAAAACCCTTTTTTTAATTATAAATAAAATTAAATAAAATTGGGTTAAACTAATGGTTTGTAATGTAGCAGTTTTCTCTTCATCAAGCTATTTAAAACAATCTATGTATCATGTACAAATTACATTATTAAAATTACATTCATTCTGTACGAATATATTCCAAAGATTGCATACATTTAGGATGAGCAATGCATGTAATCTTTGAAATAAAATAAAAAAAGGTGAAGAGGTACTAATATAATCGTTCGAATTTAAGGGTTAATTGGGTGACTTAAGAAAAATAATAAAATTTTCAATGACATGGTATTTAGTATTAGCTTTCTGCAAATATAGCAAATATAGAAATTTCGATTCATCGAAAATGTAATTACACTAACTTTCGAGTGGCGATAGTTTGAGAAGGGGTACTTCTTGCGGTAGAAAAAGTCAGCCACTGCATTTGCAAAATTTGAAAAATGCTTATGGTCTCGCAACAATAACTAGTAATGGCATTTTTAGGGTTTGTAGGGGCTATAACTCTTAGAGGGGGGGAAATAGTTTAAAACTTTTCCTCTATGGAAATAAGTTTCTAGTAAGGATTTATGTACGTATGAAATTTGAGCTTTCTATTTTCAGAGTGAAACTAATAAGCACTTTTTTTCAAAAAAATTTTTGGGAAATGCTAACAACGCGTTATGCGATAGAAATGTATGATTTTTCCAAAAAAGGTTTTAAAAACTTGAAATTTTTTTAATAAATTTTAAGTATTTCATAATTGCATAAATTGGTTTATAAAAATTGTTTCGCCGAATTTGAAAAATATAAATCGACTAAATACAGTTATTTCCTAAATTGAATTAATTTTCCAATAATGTTTTTCAAATATTTAAAAATTCTAAACAATAATTACGAAAATAAAAAAAGCAATAGTATTCATATTTTTATTTAATTGGAAACGCTCCTCAGCTTTGAAGGTACTGCATGGAAATTATGGGACAATTTAAGTTTTTGAAAAAAGTGTAGTTTGCAGCTTTGTGTTATAATTGTTTTTGAAACACGGTTAAAAGTAATAATTGTTTCTAACTAGTACAAGATCTCAATATCGATTTTGAGTATAATTTGGGACCCGAAAAGAAACCAAGTGCTGAATTTCTATAAATATCACTGTTATTTAAGAAAGCACTTTAATACACTAGTTTAATAATTACAAAATTAAACTTCAAAATTTATGCTGTCTCATTTTGTTTGAAAAAATTTTGAAAAACTGAATAACATTTATTTACACAAAGATTGTGTTTTAAAGTTATTCAAAGTTTCATCAGAATTGTTGCAAGGAAGGATGTGGTTTTCATAAAAATATTTTTTTTTAATGTGATGATTGAACATAATCATATCTTTGACAAAATTTTGAAAAATTAAGTAATTTGCATTTTGTTTTGTGGTTTTTCAAAATTTTTGTGTTTCTATACCTTTATACATACATACATATAATATGTACATATTTAGTAAAAAAAAACTTTCTTCATATTATCATAATATAATTAAAAAAGTTTGACTTTAAAATATTAAGTTGCATAATATAGCATGCTCTTTATATGTTCATTATTTTTGTTTTTGATATTCTTTTACTCAAATTGTAACATTATACTTGCACCTTTACACATTTTATTTTATCAGTCAAGCAAATAAGTTCAGATAATTTACATATAAAAAATATTGACCGCATTGTATACCATAAGGGACATATTGGTGTGGAATCAAAATTCGAATGCTAAGCTTTAAAGTGCTATCCGTGATAGAGAAACGTTACTAAACTAGTCTGTCTAACAGTTATTCTGCCTGTCTGTGGTCATTCGTGTATTACTATCGACGGAAAAATTTATAATGTAAATTTAGTTTGTTAAGTTGAAATGGCGTTGTTGTGAGTTAAGATTTTAGATCTCAGAAATTGAAATTTTACTTTTACTAGAAGCCGCTCCTTCTAAATTTTAAACTGTTTTTAAGAAATTGAACATATCTTTTTGAAATTCTTTATATAAGGCATTTCTGATATTACTGAGCTATTTGTTTTACAGCAAAATCAAATGTCAGCAACAGGACTTTTAATAAAATAGCCAAATTTATATAATTGTCGGACTTCATAAAAAATTAATATGTGTTTAAATCGTGGTTGTTGAAAAATAAACTAAGCATAATTTTACGGCAATACAAACTGAACTAAGAAACTAATAAACAGAATTACTTGAATTTTAACGTTTAAGTTTGGGTTATCAACCAACCTAATTGAAAAAATTTTCATTAAATTCGAAAATCGCCAGATTTTAAGAGTCAAATGTATATTTTTCTATCTACGCATGTATTTAAATCTTGCCTCGTTCATTCCGTTAACTTCATAAAAACATAGATTTATTGGAATTGATATTATCGTGAAAATAAAGAGTGTGGTCGGCTATGAGCTGGCCACATCCGACTTTTTAATACTGTAATTATTTTTGAATTTTCGACTGCAAGAAATTGCTTTATATATAAAAATTATTATCTATATTTTTTTATATTGTAAGAAGAAAAAGAACAGGTACTGAAAATAAACAGGTAGTTATGGTCAGCCACATTAACTTTTCTAGTCATAAATGCAACGCTCACTTGGTTTTAATGGACATTTTTTTTTTGTTTTTTGGTCAACTTAAGACATATGAAAAAAAAGGATGAAAATTAAAGCTATAAAAGAAGGACATTATCGTAATAAACAGAGTAAAACAGAAAATGAAGACACCAAAAACGGAAACAAAAATAAGACAACAATTTTAAAAAATAAAAAGGAAAAATTTACGATCCTTATCCTTATTTTGTTATTCACACCACCTCAATACTTTTATTCATACTATATTTTTTATTTCATATTTTTGGAACCAGAACCTTGCAAAATAATATTGTCTTTCCATTTTTTTTTAACTTTGTAATTTTTAACAGATTTTGTTAATAAAAGACAAAATCTGAAGTTCTGAAAATCTGTAAGGATAATAAAATCCTTTTTTGTCTTATTTATATAGTTAAAATTACATAATTTTTCTCGAGCACAGAAGTGAATTGGTATGGTGCATTTAAAAAATTTTTTTGTGGAGAAGTTGGATGTGTTAAAAAATACCGGGAACAAAATGTCTTTAATTGCCTTGATCAGATAAAACTGTTTTTAGTGAGTTAAGTTAGAAATTAACCAGTTTTGTTGCGTCACAACAACAGTCAACTAATTTTTTGTATAATAGATATAGCTTGGAAAGCGTTACTAATCATAGAATAAATTTACTAAATTATAATTATGTGCATCATTGGTTTTCAAGTCTAAAACCTTTCATACACTTAAATTCTTTGAAATGAGAAACACCATTTCAGACGAAGTGATTATAAAATTCTGATAAAAAGATGACAAATTCCAAATTTTAGATTGCTTGTTGACAGAATTTCCTATTGCAATATCGTAAAAATTTATTCTGTCAACAAAAAACAAATAAATCCCTCATTAAAATTTGTGGAGTCATAATTGCCGCTTTGAATACTCCCTATGAAATTTATGGCATTGAGAATTAGATCGCATTTTTCTGAATTTCTATCTGATTTACTTTCCAGTTTACAAAAATAGCATAAGCACTATGCGAAAATATTTTAAATTATAAGAAAAAATTACGCCACACAGTGATTAAATTTGATTTTTATTAATTTTCTGTTCTCCTTGTTTTTTATCAAAACCAAAGAAGATGTGGATTTCGTCCGTTTTATGTTTAATTTTTATGTATTTTTTTTTTCGGGTTTACTTTTACTGTTAATTTGTCTGGAACCTTGGTAATTATGTCCACCTGCAAAATTTGAAACCAAAACAAATTTTATGTTCTTTTTTTTTCTTGCTTTAATATTTGTTTGGAATAAAAAAAGCATAACAAAATAATAAAGTTTGTGTCCTTTATGTAATGCGGTTTTATATACGCCATGATATTATATTTAAAGTTTTGTTCTGATCGTACAAAATGTCCTGCATATTATATTTATGGTGTTACACCTTTTTGTTAAGGATATTTAATTAAAGATATTTGAGAAATTTTGATTGTATATAAATAATTTTTGAATTACCGTCTGTTCTTTGATTTTTTAGTTAATATTCACAAATTAACTTTGTTCACTTAAAATTAAATAGAAAAAAATATTGAACGTATTTTTAGATTGTAAAATTTTTGGCATAATTTAAAAAAAATTAATATTGTTAGTCTGAAATGATTTTAGGGTTAAATTTAATGATTTGATTTTAAATCTATAATTTTAAGAATAATAAATTTAAAATCAAAATTTCGGCACAAAAATATGTCTGAAAAATTTTGATCCGAAATCAGTACAAATTTGTTATAAATTTAAAATATGAAATTTTCTCACATAGTAATAAGTTTTTTTTGTCTTCTTTCTAATTTTTTAGGTAATTTTTTTTATTGTCATAAAAATTTGATTTTTCCAATTCGTTATTTTTTAAATTAACTTCTAATCATTATGTTTTAATATTAGAGGAAATTATCGTTCATTATGGATGGGTGTTTTATGGGCGTTAACATCTGGTACAGGTGTTGCTGTTGCATTATTACAAGGTTCAGCTGGTCCATTAATTGGTGTGGCAATATCAGCTTCATTGTTACCTCCAGTTGTTAATTGTGTAAGTATTAAGAAATATTTTTTCTTATTTGTTGCTTTCTGTGGCTTTTTGCAGATTTATTACATACATTTTATAATAATATATAGATGTTCTATAATCTTCACGGATTTTAATTTATTGTACAAAATTTTGGAAAATCGTTGGTAAATTTATTGTAAAAAACTCAATGTTCTTGAACTAATGTCATGTAAAATGTGTGAATTTTAATTATGGCTGAATTTTTATTTCTTCTTAATTTGTAGAATTAAAACGAAAGATAAATTGTTTAAGTTCAAAGCCGTTTAGAGTTCATAGTTTTGAACTTGATAGAATTGTTTTTTCAAAACATAACATTTATTAACGATTTTGCAGCATAATGGCTATTTCCCAAAGGCAATTGTGATTGTCCACGCTGAAACTAAAACGTGTACTTGGTGTATTTTTGTATTGTAAAATATTTTTTTTTCATTTATTCAAAACTTTTGTCTAGTTCTCGGTATAAAAAATTCTTAAGAGTATATTAAATTTTACGAAATTCACATTAAATTAAATTTTTTCCCACTCTTTTCCTCAAAATATAAAGCATTTATTTCATTATGTCCTTTATTTGAAAAATTATACTCATTTCATTACCATATCAATTAAATATCCTTTTAAATTGCAGAAAACAAGTGTGTGCTTGAAAATTTGGGTTTTATTCATTTAAGTCATTTTTCATAAAGCTTCTCTTACACTATACAGAATTTATCTAAAATTTAGTTAGACACAAAATATTATTGGATTGATATTGCATCCACAAGCCACTATAATACATAAATAAATAAATGTCAACTTTTTGCAGAACAAAAACGACAAACAATAAGCGTTTGAAATTAATAAAAAAATTTTTATTGAAAAAAAATTTTTTTTTGTGAATGGACAGTACTTTTCTCGTTCTACTTAGCTTCTGGATAACTACTATATGCAGTAGAATAGAAAATGTTGTTTAAGGAATTTTCAAGTTAAAAAAAGGATATTTTATAGTTAATTCTATTTTCTACTTAGTTTATTTTATTTTTTGTTTCCTTAAAAAGGACATTTTCAACAAGAATTCAATAAACCCAAAAATATTTAGGCAAAATATAAAATATAAAAACCATAAACCATATTTTCATTAAAAAAATAACCTAAAAAATTTTTTTTTTAGATAGAAAGTGAAAATAAAACAATTCTAAAATATTATAGAATTGTTCTATATTCATTGTTCTGAGAGGGGGGATGGGAATCAGAATTTCGCAAGGACATCAATTTTATTTTAGTGTATGAAAAATTTTTGTAGTTCAGAATTTTTATTTATATTTGAATTCTCTTTTTTTTCTTCTACAAGATTGAAAAAATTTAATCTATAATATAAAATGTACAAATACAATAAATGTTTTCATTGTGTTCTGTTATATTCTGGTATAATAATATAATCATTGTATAATATTTCGATTGAATAACCACAGCATGAAAATTTCTATTATATTCAACCAATTTTAACTTTAGTACTTTATAATGTCGTCCTTTTGTTCACATTTTTTTTCTCTATGCTTGTTTCTCATATAATAGAAAGTTTTTTTTGTTGTAAAATACACAAATGCTAAACAATAAAAACAAACTAACTTATATACAGAATTGCGAAACAAGAAATGTAAAATATACAATATAAAATCTAACATAATATACTTAAATATACATATATATGGTTTAATACACAAAATCATGGGTAAAATCATGCTCATAATACAAATTTGAATGAAACTCCATTAAAATGAACTGAAAAGTAAAAAAAAAGGATAATAAAATTTAAGAAAAATGGAGAGAATAAAAAAAATGCGAAATAAATAAAGAAAAGCATAAAAAAAAATAAAAAATAATTTACAGTGAAATGATTAATGATTTTTCTTGTTTTTTGTTCCGTTTTTTTTATCGTGCCCTTCATATTTTCCTTTCCCCTCACATTTTTTCTATATTAATTGTCCATTGATTTTCTTTTATCTCTCTTCTCTCATCTTTTTCTCATTCAACATTTCTTCATATTTTCTTTCTCTTCCTAACTCTCTCTTGTTCTCTCGTACCGCTTTTTTTTCAATCTGTTCTTTAAAAGATTATTATTTCTCTTGAAGTGCGGCAAATAGAAATAAGAAATTCAATTTATACAAAACTTGTTTCATATTGTTGTTGTACTACGATATTTGGAGAAAAAAGGATATTTTATAGGAGGTTAGTTGTGACAGAGGAGATAAATTTGAATATAAAATTGTGGCTTTTTATTTGTGACAAGAGTATTCGTCTTCAATTAAAGTCAGTTTTTAATGGTTGTCCTTTTTGCATATTGTTTTCATTTTTTTAATATTTGATTTTTTTTTGTTGTTTAAAAACTCTATACAACTTTTTCCACAGAAATGTTTTGTTTTTATATAGAAAAACAATAATAATTTTTTGCTAACCAGATTGCATAAAATAAGGGACGTATTGCAATCGCAATGAATTTCCAACGATTTTTAAAAAAAAAATTAGAGAAACGTAAATAGAAACTATTTTTAGAGATTAGGAGAGGATAGGTCTGTTAGAGAGCAGTTTTGGCTCGAACGGTGTGGTTTACGTTTTAGGTAGAGCAGGTTGATTATCTTTTGAAGTACGTCACAACTTCAACTTTTGAAATTCCTTAACAGCTCAGGCACTGTTTTTTTGCTTTTTTGTATTCCACAAATTTATATTCAAGCATACACAGTCGCAACTTCATTATCGAATTCAATCCAAATAAGCAATCAGACAGTTTGTAATTTGTTACTTACAGTCTGATTACAACTTTTAGTTGACAAATTTCATTTGAATTGACTTAATATTTTGGTTGTTTAAATATGCGTGCAATCACTTCATAATCAAGCAGTAATAGCAAAACTAAAAATTGCACCTCTGAGCCCTTATCATTCTTCATTTTTGAAGAGAGTATAGATCTTTTTCTTTTTACTATTTTGGGTACGTTTTTACATTTTAAATTATTTTTAATAAGAAATATTCTATTGAAATATTTTGTCCGATTACTGCCTTATAGCATAGAGAAGCAAAAAATTTTCATGGAAATCGGGAGCCAACTTTTGGATTTGATGCCAAAGTTAAATTTTTAGCTCTATTTTGGAGAAAAGAATAGGCAGAATTGTTTGAAGTTTACCAAAGAAATTAATTTCTAACCAAAAAGTGTTACAAATTAATGACACTTTCAAAATATATTTCAAATTTCTCTCTAAGCGATAGAAAAAGTTTTTTATAAAAATTTATATATTATTTAATCGGCTATGTGCTGACACATCAGAATTTTTGATTACATGTTTGATTCTTTGACTATTATAATTTTTTCACTGTAGATTTTAAATAAACGATTAATGTTAAATACTTGTTTTGTGAAATTTCTGGGAAAAAGTCTTACAATTTTCTTTTTATTAATATGCATGGAGAAAAAGAGTTATGCAGACTTTTCTGACCTCTAACAAATGGTTTATAATTATGCTATTAATTTGATTGGAGTTCAAGTAACGCACTTGAACTTTTCTTTTGAAGTATAGAAAGCAGTTTCGAATTAGGATATTGTTGTAAATTGGTTTTAAATTATCTAAACGATAAAAATATATTAAGTAATTATAGTTAGAGTAATTCGCAGTAAAATAATTAAAACTACGGCTGAGTTGAACAGCTAGATTGATATAGAATTAATAGAATTTAAAAATAGATTCATGGATCTATATATAATAAAGTTTAACTAAATTTTAGCCAATTTAAATGAATTATTTCTTATATTTTTTTCTATTAAACATAAGTATATCATTTTTGTCTACGTATTTAACTAAGCCCTATAATTTATTATTTCATTACGATATTACTATATTTTCTTTTATTGATTAAAAATATTTTGTAAAAAATATTTAAAGAGTTTTAAGTTTTATAATATTTTTTTTTGCCTTTTTTGGCCTAAAACTCTCTACTTTTCCTCCTTTTATTTTAAAATCTAATAAAAAGTCCAATAAATAATTTTATTACTTCTCAAACAAACTAAGAGTTAAAAAAGAAATTCAATATCTTCATTTTATCTTTTCTTAAGTAATTATTTTTCTTTAATCCACTAAAAAAAGTTTTATAATAAGTTCAGTTTTTTTCCTAGCCATTTCTTCTTGTATTTCTTTTCGAATAAAGCAAAAATTTAAAGAGTTTTCCAAGAAAATAAGAAAAAAAATTGCTTTTCTTAACAATTTTTTTTTAGAATTCTTTTCTTTTGCTTTTGTTTCTTTAAACAATTTTAATTCCAATTTTCCACTTTGTATTCGGTTTTTTAATATTCTTATGAAAATTTCAAAAAAAAAATAATGAAATGTGGCGAATCCAAATTTCTTACGAATAATTTAGTACGAGTGTATTACGTAATAGAAATAAAGTAAGTATTTTTGAAATTAAATTTAACAAAAAGATTAACATTTCAGAATAAATATTCCAATATTTTAACTTGGCTTAAAAATTTTTGATTTTTCCCAGGCTGGCATAGTAGTAATATAAGTTCCGTTTTGAAATTTGCTAATGCATTACGCAAAAAAAATTTGAATTTACGAAGACATTACGGAATCTGATATGATCAGAATATTGTGAATTTTATTAGTATTATTTAAAAATTGCAATAAATCTATTTTTGTGTTGGTTCATAGAATAATTTGCATTAGTTTTGTCATCTTCTTTTTATTCTATTTGAAATATTTAGATAACTATTAACTTCTATAGCTAATATAATTTGGATATTGTAAATTTTGTTCCATTTCTTTAATATGTGGATAGGATAATCACCCAAAGTTTATGATTTTTTTTGTTCTAAGTTCAACTAATAATACATTTAAATATAGTTCTAATTTTGAAATTAGTGCTAAACACCATAAATTTAATTTGGGTCTCTTTATCAAACAATAGATAATTTGGATTAATAATTCTCATTCATATCTCTGTAGGTGGTTTTTGGC